ATGAATTAGACAGTGTGGAGTAATTCATCCTCAAAATTTGCAGCAAAAGTGTATCTCCACAGCTCAGCTCCCTTCTCCCAGCAGTGAGCTGATCTCTGATGTAAGCACTGAGCAGGTGTACGGAAAGAGAGGAGAGAGCAGAGTGCTGAGACTGGACTCCAGCGGCTTTACTGCTTCTGTTGTGAACTTTCTGCATGAATGACTCCAGAGTGCCTGAAGCTACAGAGGTCAGCGAGAGATTATTTTAAGGTTGTTTTATTGTTTGCAATGAATATGGTAAAGTTACGCTTTTATGTATTTACATTATTTTCCATGGCGGTTCAGTTGGGCTTCAATTATATGGCCATCCATTACAAACAAATACATGTGGCAGCACTTACATTATAAGTACATCTGCACTTACAGATCTCTTACTCCCCCTGCAAAGTCCTACAAATACCTGTTGATCCCGCCGGTGACGTCCAGCTAATGCAGCTTCCTGTGATGGTGGGGGAACAATGCTGCACTGCTCCTGAATTCAGAGCCACCCTCATTTAGGCTTGTTTGTGCTACAGTGGGATGTGAAAATGCTGCCAGTGGTGTGGCAATCATCATCGTCATTGTTGGTCCACAGCTTGCCAATCAGCACCAGGCCATGCCTAGTCTTGCTTTCTGGATTGACAGCACGGCTTCCCAATGTGAGCTGCAGTGTCTGGGAGGGGGGAGCGTGTGAGACACAAATGAAGGAGGATTTTGCTCAGTCAGGGAAAGAAAAGGTTGTTTCCGGTTTAAGTTTATGAGGCTTGTGCATCGCATAGTAACTGGATTCAGCACTTGCTTAGACTGTCATACAGGGAGGAACCTTTAGTATTTATAAAATTGTCTCCAAATCATTGACAATGCCACCCAGTATATATATTATTATCTCTCCAGTGTTTTGTACATTCATGCAAACAAAGTAAAAGAGGAAGAGAAGGCGGTGATTCAGTAAAAGGCCATTAGAATTCTGGAGTGGGTGGGTTCACTATGGAAACAATTCTTTTCCTATTATGCGCTTCCTATTATTATACTCTTCAGAAAATGATCTCGTCTCAGGATTCCTGTACAGACCACAGATAAGACCCTCTTCACAGGTACTCAGAGTTTGCTGCACCTGATATCACACATGTATCGCGGAGCCGAGTCCCTATAATGCTGCTCTTAGTGTATCCGAGGAGGCTGCAGGATTCTATTGCACAGTCCTAATGTCTTCCAACGCTCTTCTAAAGCTCTTCTGAGATTTCTATTCTGACTTTCTTGTATTGGGTCCACAAAAATAAAAAATATATATATTTAAAGCTTGATTTTTGAATGTATACTTTATGTGTTGCAGCAGATCAAATACAGAGAACAAATCAAAAATCAATGCAGGTCATGGATGGAATATAAATACTCTACAGTGCAGGTCATGGATGGAATATAAAGACTCTATAATGCAGGTCATGGATGGAATATAAAGTATCTATAATGCAGGTCATGGATGGAATATAAAGACTCTACAATATAGGTCATGGATGGAAAATAAAGACTCTACAATGCAGGTCATGGATGGGATATAAAGTATCTACAATACAGGTCATGGATAGAATATAAAGACTCTACAATGGAGGTCATGGAT